TCATATTTGCTGCAAAGAAATGACCTCAAACTCAATAGTGAAATCCCCACAAAAGTATTGTCTTACAACTTATGCGGTCACGTGTCCAATCCATCTCCCTGGATAAAGTCACAGGAATGGGGCGACCTCCTTCCACTTTATCCCCATCTACAGCTGGAAGTCTGATGTGCAACTGACCCTGACATTTTGGCCCAGTATCACAGAGATGTTGAAAACGTCCCCTTTCATTAGAGTAAAGGGACTCTGTCATGTTTTGTCTCACTCCTACTATGGTTTCCTTTGAATGACAGTGTGATGTTCACTCACACCTGCACTCGCCGACCTCGCTGTATAACCAGTTGCGCAGAAGAGAAGCCACACGGTGAACGTCCTCGAGCCGTTCCCATCCTGAGGGTGGATGTCACAGTCTCCCTGGTAAGAGGAGCCACCAGTTTTGAACAATCTGTGTAAATGGTGCTAAATTCTCCTTAGCGTGGCGATTTTTTATTTTTATTGTGAATGATTTATAAAAGACTTCTCTGCATCTGTCAACAGGACAACTTTTACAAGTCATATAAATGTGTCCCATTAAGTCTATATACTTTAAAATTTTAAGCCACTTTGCCTTTCAGATGAGAAAAAAAAGGGGCTGGGAGAGAGTTGTCTAAGTGCCTGCACAGGAAGTGCAAGGTCCCGAGTTTGATCGCTGGTACCATATGCCATGCCAGCCCCAGGACCCCCCAAACAGGCATGTTGGCGCATGCTTCCCACCTCACTGCTGGGAAGGCTGGGACAGGACCTTTCTGTGGTGACCCAGCTGGATTCACACCTAGAACCCTCTACCTTCAAACTTCCATGAAGCTGGGATGACAGACGAGGGTCACCATGTCTGATTGAAAGACTACTTTTAGGGACTCAAATCTGGGTTGATGCGAGAGTTCTGAAGGTGACTTTCCCACTGTGGAATTTCCTTGTCAAGTTTTAGTATAACAACTTTCCTGGTCTGATAAAATATGTAGGGCTGTATTTTCTCTTTGTCTATTGCAAACAAATGTCTGTGGAAATTTGTGATTTGAAGTATGTCTTGGATGTGAAAGAAATCACTAGTAAAAATTATTAGTTCAAGGATGAACTGGAGTTTGCATGGGGAAGTGTTTTAATTACGGTGTCAAAGTTCTCAACACTCATGAGATGACTCAGATTTCTGTTTATCTCCACAAAGTAAATTTTGTCTGTGGGATTGCCTCTGTTGCATGTACATTTTGTGACATGTGGCACAAAGTTAGTCATAATGTCCTGCTTTTGCATCTGTGAAGTGCATGTAGGGTCTGTCTGGATGTCTGCTGTTTTATGATGCTGATGCCTGTGTCAGCTCTTTCTAGGTCCTTATTACCATCCAATAGGACTATATTTTCTTTTACTCTATTTACAGTTATTTCATGTACTTTTCTAGATTTTTGATCAGACATATTGGTCCTATGATTTTTTCAGAATATTTTCCTATATGTTCAACCACGGTTCATAATTTTCTCATTTGTTACTTAAGCTGTGTCAGGCTGTCATTGACCTTGTCATCCACCTCACACATCCTCTCCCATGATTCTATTTATCATTCATTCAGTGATTACATTATTATTTAAAGAGAGTACAAAATAGGATTAAAACAGGAAAAAGACAAATGATACATAATTTCATTAAAGAAAATATATGCATTTCACAGTATTTGTTGTATTGCATAGCGTTGTCTTCAACTGGAAGGAGGAAAAAAAGAAAAAAAAGTATAAAAAAGGGAAAAATTAAGAAGAAAATAAAAATAAATGAAGCACTAGCTGCTACTTTCCACAGACAAAGAGAAATCCCAGGTACAATTGTCCAAGGCATCCTGCTTATCCACAGAGCTATATGGCTTTCCCCACTCCCTCTCCTGCCCTTCTCCTCACCTCACTCACTCCTTCCTTCTGAACATGTTCATTTCCTATTCCCAGTATCTACTGTACCCTTCAGATTTTACTCTAGTATTATTGAATAATCTCCAACTTTGCTTCCAACACAGAGATGTGAGCTCTCTCTGACTGCAGAGCCACGTCTGTCCCAGAATCTCTGGCGTCTCTGTCGGGTGTCACTGGTGCAGGCATCACTCAGTGTCCTTTGGGATAGCTCCTGGATGAGTGGGCGCCAGGACAGCATACGCACTGGACTCCACTGGGAGGGACCCGTCTTGGGAGGCAGGAGTTGCAGCTGTCCCCTGTCTGAGCATCCTGACGCAGAGCTGGGCATAGGTCACATCTTCTAGACCCTGCAGGAGAGAAGGGAGAGTAGCTGTATATCTACTCTAACTATTTTGTGTGTGTGTGTGTGTGTGTGTGTGTGTGTGTGTGTGTATTTTTTCACTACAAAATGGTCCTTCATTTAATCCCTCTTTTTTGTTTAGTTTTGTCAGAGACCTGTATTCCATTGCCATTCAAAAATTGTAGGTGTGTGACATCAGCAAAGTAATCCAATATAGTCCAGTAGTCCTACTAACCTGTTTTGAAACTGTCTCATTGCTATTTCTTTCTGAATAAAATTTAAAAAACAGAGAAAAGGGACAGAGGAGGTTTGTGCTTGGCACCACAGCCGTCTGGGAGTCTGGGAGCTGCAGCACCCACCTGAGCGTCTATCTGCCTGTCCTCCGCTGCATGGCCATCCTTGGTGTGCAGGAGCTGCCCCGACAGGCCCGAAGGAGGAGAGGCCCCTTTACTCCTTGTTGCTGAGTGCTCCATCTCAGCATACATTGCTCCCTGGGAGTCCTCATCAGGTGAGCTCTGCAGCAGGGACACAGAGAAGAGATGGGGTCTCCTTGGTTCCAGGCGGATCTCCTCCATCCAGTTTGCCACACGGTGGCCTGGAGGATTCTTCAGAAGTTAAGCCAGACCTTTCCTCTGTTCCTCATTCAGAGGTTTCCTACAGCCTTAGAGACTCTGGCCGCTTCACTCTTGCAGTGCTGCCCTTGCATGCTGAGAGTCGGGCCCTGATCCCAGGCTGAGCCACAAGGCTCATCTTCCTGAAGGAGCTAAGTTCATTCCTCAGGACCTCTGCACCTTCTCTGTACTCTGCCTGCACCACTGGATGATTAGAGGTCTGCACAGTCCTCTCCACGCAGGCGTCGACTCAGTGTGCACCTTACTATAGTGTGTGTCGTGATTCTCACTAACTCTCCTGGGGAACAGACAGCGGAGGTTGAGAATGAAGAAGGGGTCAGTGGGAGGGGACCCCAAGGACTCAGGAAAACAGAAGCATGTGGGGTCCCAGGAGGCAGAGGTCTGGGATTTCAGAAAGGAGGGCTCGTGAATGCTCAGTGGTGCAGCAGCTGAGTGGTGCAGCACCATGCCTGGGCTCAGCCGGGAGACAGGAAGACCCTGTGCCCTGGGTGGGGCGGGGTCTCACCTGAGTATTCAGCTTCAACCCATCCTCATGCTCTGTGTCCTTTGAGGTGACATCTGCAGAGACAGAAGGGGGGTCACCTGCTGGCCACAGTCCTGGGATCTTTCACCGCAGGCTGTGCCCTGTTCAGCAGGGACACAGAGCCAGGCAGCTGTGTGACATCCCCAGGCTCAGTGTTGGGCTCAGTCTGACTCAGCCTTCAGTCCCAGCATCCCCCTGCTCCTGTGACGCTGAGACCTTGGGGTGCCTCCCTCTTCGGACCCCTAACCCCACACCAGAATCTCCTACGGGATGGACCATGTGCTCTGTGCTGTGTTCTCTGTCCTGGATTCTGCACAGGGGACTGTGAAGGCTTTCTCCCTGAGAAAGGTTTCCCTGTGGGCCTCAGCTCACACCCCTTTCTGAGGCCCAGGTGCCACCTTCCCTGCTCACCTGCCTTCCTGCTTCTTCGCTGATGCCAGTATAGAAAGAGAAGGAGGAGGAACAGCAGCAGCAGGGAGCAGGACCTGGAAAGCCAGGTCGCAACTTTATTCTTCTCTTGCAGGTGGGGAGCGCGGCCTTAAAGAGAAGCATTGCCACTTCCCTGAGCACCTGCATGCTCATCCCACAGGCCGTCTTTGCAACACTGCCTCACACACTCCAGTCCTCCACCTGACTTCACCACCCCTGCATGGAGGTTACGGAGGAGGAGTCTGAGACTGGAAAGGGAGTGGCCAGCCCAGGGAAGCAACAGGAAGCTTGGATGGGGATTAACACAGGGAGCTGGAGCTTCAGCCATGCTCTCTCTCTCAAGCTGAGCCCCTGATTTGGAAAGGAGCCTGGACACTCTGAACTGGCTCCATCCCTGCACACCATCACCGTCACTGTGCAGAGGGACAGGATCCCCGCAGCCTGGGGGCCTGGAGGCTTCCCTGGGAGGCCGCCTCTCCAGGGCTTACAGCAAGATCACCACCAGAGCAACTTGAAGGTCTGGGCCAGGCCTACCCGTTACACCTGGAGACACTGAGGCACACCCAGGAGGGGCTGCTCCAAGTCTGCATCTCTAGAGGAGGCTGAGCCAGCCCAACAGTTCAGCCCCTGTCTGTAACGCTCCAGCAGCGCTCTCACTCTCCACCCTGGGGTCCAGACTCTGGCAGGAGGGGCCGATCCTCAGGGCTTCCTAGGAGGGGTGGGAAGGTGAGGGGCTGGGCTGACTGCTCCCCACTCCTGCGGCTGCTCTTATCTAGGCTGGAACCCAATATCTCCCTCAGTTCTGACCCCACTACATGCAGCCTCAATTCTGAGCCAAGACGATCCATATTCCTTTCCCTCTCCTTTATCACAAGACTCCTGTGGACTCCAGAATGGAAACAGGACTGAGATGGGCAGAGTGGCTTGAGGCAGCCTGGACATGGGATACTGGAAAAGACCCCTGGATGCTCCTGCTGTGGGGCTAGGTTCTGAGGGTGTGAATCAGGTCACTACTGGGATGTGGATCTGAGGGAAAGCAGGCTGGGCTGCCCCAGGGTGGACTCTGGCACATCTCCACATGTGCTGTGGCCTCCGCTCAGAGGGCACACTCCAGACAGCAAGGATGGATGGGGATCACAGGCCTAGGAAGAGTCCACTTCTAGCTGATTCTCCCAGAGACCTGCACAGCCATGTAGCACACGGCTGCCCAGGGACATGGTCAGAGAGACACTAAGCTCAGCCATGCGCACCTGACACGGTGAGCTCCAGAGGCTCGCTGGGCTGTGACAGCAGGTGTGGAGAGGAGTCCCAAGAACCATAGCACCTGTAGGTACCGCCAAGGGCTGAGCTCGCAGCTCCAAAGGAGAATTCTGCCCGGAACTGCTGAGCTTGGGATACTGATCTCAGACTCAGGGGGGCATCGGCTGCGCCCTCCTTGGACAGAAGGAAAGTGTCCATTGGGTTCCGTGACTGACACAGCAGGGTCACATTCTCTCCTGAGGACACTGTAGGTCCTGGATGCACTGAGAGGGAGGGTGTGGCAGGGAGCTGTCCTGGAGAGAAGGAAGATAGTGAGGGTCAGTACAACTTGTCCTGAGGCCTCATCAGGGCTGTCTCAGGGGCCCTTCCATCTCTGTCTGTCTCTGTCTCCCCTGACTCTGCCTCTCCAGTCCTCCCTTGGCTCTCAGTCTCTGTCCTTCTCTGGCATCCTACCCTCACCATGGCCATCATCTCCTGGGCTTCTCTAGCAGGGCCTGTGCAGAGTCTGGGTCCCTGACTGAGCCCTGGGCTCCTCACCTGGTATCAGAATGTCCAGGGGGTCACTGGGGGCTGACCACTCAGAGGAGAGGCTGCGTCCACCGTAGCATCTGTAGCGGCCCCCGTGGGAGCGGCCCACAGGGCCCAGGAAGAAGTCGGCCTGAGAGAGTCCAGGTTGTGGCTGCCAGCCCAGACGCTGAGAGAGGTCACCAACCCCCTCTTTGGACAGAGTGAATCTGTCATAACTGAGGTCAGAGCGACAGTGCAGAGTGAGGTTTTGTCCAGTAGCCAGGATAGGGCCCTGCTGGAGGGAGGGCTTCCTGGACAGCCCTGAGGGGAGGAGGAGCCAGAGTTAGGGATTCAATGCTGCCATCCTGTCCTACCCTGTGGGTCTACCTGACTGTCCCATTGAAGCTTTCAGGTCTATAGATGTCCTGACACATCTACCTCCTGAGCAGCCTCTGTCCTAGGGCCCTGTCAGTTCTTCAGGAATTGCAGTGTGATTGGGTCAAAGAAAGGACTTTCTCACCAGAGATCAGGAGCTCCAGGACAGCACTGGGCTGTGACCACACTTGGGGATTTTTCTGGTAATAGCCGTAGCACCTGAATATCCACCTCTGCCTGGGGGTCACAGGGCCCACAGGGAACAGGGCCCGGAAGTGACCACTGGAGTCTTGCTGTGAGTACTGCATCCAGGAGAGCTTCTCTCTTCCTTCCTTAGTGAGAATGAACTGAAGAAATCCCAGCTGTGACCCACACTGCAGGGTGGAGTTCCCTCCTGAGGTAACCACAGGGCTGGGCAGGGCTGAGAGGCTGGGTTGGCTGTAGACTCCTAGGACAGAAGGAAGAAGTGGGAGAGATGGACTCATGCCTCCCCAGGGCTGGGATGTGAGAGGGGACATCCCTTAGAGCAGACCTATTCCTGAGGGCAGAGCCTGGGCTGGGACCGTGAGAGTCCTCTCACCTGTCACCACCAGCTCCAGTGCCTCACTGTATTGTGACCAGCCAGCGGGGCTGCTATAGTAACAGCGATACCACCCTGCATCATCCTCTGTCATGGATGGGATGGAGAACTTGGCCTTGTTCCTGTGCCCAGGAGAGGTCTGTATGTCTGAGAAGGCTGGGCTGCCCTCTCTGTACAGATGGTATTGCTGGGCCTCCAGGGTCCCCTCACACCACAGGGTCACAGGACTCCCACGTGGTATCAAAGAGCCTGGCTGAGCCTGCAGCTTGGGTTTTGGGGTGATCTCTGCAAGGAAACAAGTGAACAGGGGTGTTGTGTGCTGACTGTGCACAGTGAGTCCTGCATGGAGTTGGCATTAAGGCTGACCCGGAAGGAGCAGAAGACACCCGAGGACTTGCCTGCTGACAGAGCACCCTCTGGACCCTCTCATTTGTACTTTCCCCTCCCATCCTGGTCCCTGTGTCTCTGGTCTCACTCTACCTCGCACCCTGTCACTGAGTTCAGCAACCTTGGGCACCACATCCACTTTGCTAGCAGGTGTTGTGAAGGTTTCTGGGTCAGTCCTCAGTTATGAAAGGAAAAATCCGGGGCTTACTCACCTGAGAGCAGGAGCTCCAGGGCATCACTGGGCTCTGACCACACCTGCGGTTTTCTGCTGTAATAGCCATAGCATCTGAATGTCCGCCTCTGCTCGGGGGTCACGGGGCCCACAGGGAACAGGGCCTGGAAGTGTCCATTGCCATCTTGGTGTGATTTCAGTTCCAAGGGAAGCTTGTCTGTTCCTTCCTCAGTCAGAATGAATCTGTCAAATCTCACCTGTGACCCACACTTGAGGGTAACCTTCCCTCCTGAGGTCACCACAGGGCTGGGCAGGGCTGAGAGGCTGGCTTTGCCATAGACTCCTAGGAGAGAGGGAGACAGTGTGAGAGATGGACTCACATAGTACCAGAGCTGGGCTGTGAGGGGGGTAAACTTCTGACAGCAGCCCTTTCCTCAAGGCAGTGTCTAGACTGGGACCCTGAGTGTCCTCTCACCTGTCACCACCAGCTCCAGGACATCACTGGATGGTGACCAGCCAGAAGCTGTGCGGTAGTAACAGAGATACTGTCCTGCATCATCATCAGTTATTGATGGGATGTCGAACTTGGCCTTGTTCCTGAGCTGCTGAGGGCTCTCTATGCCCCATGGCCCTTGGAATCTTCTTCTTTTCAGAATGTACTCCTGTACCCCCAATGTCGACTCACACCAGATGGTTACAGTGGCTCCCCACTTGATCACAGCTGCTGGTTCAGCCCAGAGCCTGGGTTTGGGGAGGCTTCCTGCGGGGAAAGCACAGCTGGGTCCCAGGACCTCCTCTTCCCCCTAGATCCCAGCTCTCAGCCCCAGGACGCTCTGGACCTCCCAGAACCAGCCCACACATATTATGTTCTGCACTGCCCAGGTGTGCATGCTTGTCTCTAGGGAGAAGGAGGGACCCAAGACAACTGGGGACACTCACCTGTCTGCACTCCTGTCTTAAGGACAAAACCCAGGCCTGGAAGAGAATTTACAGTGATAAGTTTACCCTGCAGTCTGAGCAGGACTCTCATCCTTGGAGCCACCAGAGCCCCTGGTCTCCTGATGCGCCAGAGCTTGGCTGTGGGGTTCCAGACTAGGGGTTCTGATCCCCATGTTCATTACTCACCAATAAAGAGCAGAGTTGTGAGTGTGGCAGTCATGGTGTCTCCTACCTCTGGGTGAGACTGTTTGCATAGGTGATACCAAGTGCCTGACACAGGGTTTCACAGCTGGGAATTGGTTTCTGCCCTTCCTAGGGTGATCACACCGAGCGGCCCACAGGAAGCAGGCTGACATCCGCAGTCACCCATGCTGCTTTATTTTTTTAATTTTTAAAAATTTTAAATTCAATTTTGCTGAGTTTACACACCTATAAATATTCAATAACGGAACTTAGAAAAAATGGGGTATACCAATGAATGTCCATTTTGTATCTGTGTATTCAAAGTGGTTGGGATAGATATA